GGTGCTAACGTGTTACGTCATTCAAAAGAGAACAAAAATCTCTAGCAAATGAGCCTACTGAAAGTGCGAACTGCTATTTAAAAAAATTAAATTGTTTTTAGTTATTCGTTTGTTTTCTGAAATAAAAACAATGGAATGCTGCCTTATTATGGGAGATAAATGTTACACAACTTTCACATTGAAAAATTTTGTATACAGTAAATATTTACCGAGATATATACTATATTCCATACATAATGAGCACCCTGTATATACGTAATAAAAATTCTGGTCGCGTTAAAATTTTGAATCTAAACTTAATTTTTGAAAATTTGAAACATTTGCATAACCTTTAAATTTTTCATTCAATAAAATGCGATGTTGTAAAATTTCAAAGTCGATTGTAAGGGTTTAATTCTTTATAATGATTGTTGAATTATGTACCGTTTTCAAAAGTATACGGGGGGTCCGGTATAAGATATCAGACCTCGTATCGGACCTACCTAACTCCATTTTTTTAAATGGAAAAATAACATTACATTCTCTTTTAACAAAAAAAGTTATAAAAAGTTTAAATGATTATATAAAAAGTTTAAATGATTAAAAACAATACAAACAGACTTTTGAATTTTTTTATTGTTATATTACTGTAAAAAAAGAATTTAGTATGCTATCTTTTTTTATTAATCTTTACAGGGTCTCTATTTCAAAAATTCAGGTTAGGTCCGATAAATTTTTTACCCGTTTACTTATTTATACATCATATATATACAATGTATTAAAAAACATAGGGTCATTATATGAAATTGACAATTATTTATATTCTAACACAAAAAGAGCACATGACGCCTATATTACTTTTTTATACAGGGTGGTGACTTGCGTAACGCATCATAGGGATTTCAATGTAAAATTCATAATAACCTGCGATCGCATGCGATTATTGGCTCCCCAAATTATTTTAGAGCAAGTATTAAAGTTTTTTGTAGAAAAAAATTTTTACGCCGATCAACCGTATTAGTTTTAAATTTTTTTCATATAAAGACGGAAAATTGGAAAAATAAAACCCGCATCTTTTTCAATAATCTGCAATGCCCTGGAATTTTCTAAAACAAAAAGATATCCAGTTATCAATTAGCAGCAGTTCAAAATGGATTTTATGATCGACTTGGTTACTTTCTTGCAGTTAATTGGTGACTTATTCGAACATTTATTGTAAATTGTTATATTAGGAAACCGTTTTTAGTAATTTGGTCTTTCTTCATGTTGAATTCGCCGTTCTAAATATAATACTGTTTGATAGAATTTGATTTGTTTTATAGCAGACATTCCATGGCATGACGGATATTGGCGTAGTTTTTGTATTATAAAATTCCATGGCATTACAGATTATTGAAAATGATGCGGGTTTTATTTTTCCAATGTTCCGTCTTTATTATGCAAAAAATAGAAAACTAATACATTTGATTGACGTAAACATTTTTTTTCTACAAAAAACCTTATTACATTTTTGCTCTAAAATAATTTGGAGAGCCAGTAATCGCATGTTATGAATTTTACATTGAAATCCCTATGATGCGTTACACAAGTCACCACACCACCCTGTAGAACTACCAATTATGGAAATACCGTATAAAAGTGAAAATTATAGATCCTTATTGAGCGGTTCCAAATTGGAAAGTTCCTAAATTTTGATATATTACTTGTTATATTTATATTATATATCATTTGCGATATTGCTTTTTATACATTAAAATATTTTTACTGCAGATATCTAGGTTTCAATGGTGAACAAAAGATGGCAGGATTGTTTAAAATGACAATTTCTTGGTTGTTTGAAAATTTTTATTAGTTCCAAATATTTTTAATTTCAAATAGCACACAAAAAACAAAGTACGTAAAAACCCATGCGAATAAAACAAATAAATCATATAATATATAAATAAATAATGCAGATAACCAAGAAATTGTCGTTTTAAACAATCCTGCCATCTTTTGTTCGCCATCGAGACCTAGATGTCTGCATCAAAAATAATATTTAATATAAATATGATACATCAAAATTTTGGATATTTGACACTCTTTTCAAAAACTTCAATGCATATAGGGTGGTCCATATGAAAAAATGTAGTTTAGGGTCGCACAAGAATAATCAAACACCCTGTTTAAAAACTGTGTATCGCGATGGATTCTATATATAAAAAAGTGCTCTAAGAAAGATTTTACCAAAATCAATTATCTTTAATAATAAGAAAGTTATGAGGCATTAAAGAAATCGACTTAATTCGAGAAACGCCCCCTAGTGGCCAAAGGATTAGAGATAGCTGAATATTGTTTGCGTTAGTAATTTTCTTTTTAAAACTGAGACCAGGCCCCTAGGTCCATTTTGTTCTATCTCCTAAAATAAAGGACGTGTCCAATTTGGATCACCCTGTACTTATCTAGCACTTTTACGGTTTCTGGTGCTTTCATTTTACGTAGATACTTATATAGTACGACTTCTTCACTCTAATTCTACTATCAAATGAACTTACCTGACGTTCGATGGAAATTATGAGGCATCCCGTCCAAATATATTATTTATGCTTAGTTACACAATTTTTTAGAGATCAAACGAGCGCATGATCTCCGAGATCCGCCCCACTAGTAGAGGTAGGTAAACGAGAAATCTTCTTCATAGTTTAAATAAAGCGGCTTGTAATTCAAACTGTGCGGAAGGAGTGAAGAGTATTACATCTTTGGACGAGATGCTTCATATAATTCCGATCGAAATTCAGGTTCATTTCGATTGAGGATGCATTGAGTTGAGAGTATTTTTACACCAAACGAATTAAATTAGGGAAAATAATAAATTCTTTATTTTGCGATAAGATTGTCGGTATTTCTTGAATTCTTCTCAGACTGAGAAACAGAAAACTTGAAGAGAAAAGAAGATCAGCTCGTTCTAAACTATCCTCTGACTCCAGTTCCGTTGTCTCTATGCAACATTGATGGATCGATGATTAAAATCGACAAGTTTGTTTTGCTGAAACTTTTTCGGAAGTATGATTTCTTCAAGTGCTCCTAGTCCATCGCCAGTTGTAGATGTTGTTTTAATCGATGGATTATTTTTTTTTGCATCTTTTAAAAGATCTCCGGTAAGCCTTTGAGTGATTTTCTGAACACATCCTCGGCAAGATTTGTGCTGTGTCAGCGACAGAAGTACATCTTACTTTTGACAGATAGTTACCCCTTCCATGAAGCACACAGAACATGATCGTTGGGATCAAAATAAGGAAAGATTACAATCCTACTCAATTTCTGTTTCCACTCAGAAGCAGCTTGCAAATTTCATAAAACCATTTCGCAATGATAGCCCAAAGCCTCTCTTATAGATTGCTTATACCGTTCATAGACAAAAAAGACCTATTGCGCTTTACTTGGAAGGAAAGTTGTGTTTGCCACATATGAAGATAAGTGCTATAAATTTGTGACAAGGGATGTGGTAAAAACTGAATTGTGCTGCAGTCACTAAGAGGCAGATTCTCGAATAATTTACCATCTTGGTAAACTACCAACAAGGAGCGAAGTCATTATTAGCGCTTCCGATATGGATATTGCTGTTATTGCTTTGGGAAATGTAAAATTGACGCTACCATCAAGGTATAGATGGAAATAAGTCTCTTTTCCAATAACACGCAGAAATTCATAAATCTTCGAGAGATGTTCGTGAATTTGGGTGTTGATGTGTGTAACGCGCAGGGTAACGCGTTACCGGGTTCCCACGCATTTACCGTATGTATGACTTGTGTATGGTCCTCATGGTTTAGTTCATCGCAATTTGAGCGAATGCCACCGAAAAATGTCTGAGTTTCTACAATCCGTTTGATTGAAGTGGATGGAACTATGTGAATCAGACGTTTAGAATCAAATGGTTTGAAAGATCTCAGTAGTCAGTATCCTATCGCTATCTCTGTTGGTTATGCTCTCCCGTGCTTATCTCTCACACGCTCGCACTCGCTGAGATTTACTATACCTAAATTTTTTAACTTCTAAGACGTCTGCCACTATTAAAGCTACACTTAATATCGTCTGCCAGGATATATTTGAAAGTAGTGACAAAAAGAGGAATTTTTTATGAATAATTTTTATACGGTCCTCATGGTTTAGTTCAGGGGTGTTTTTCCCTACATTGGAGGGCGTCTTTCGCTACCAACGCTGCACTTGAAATCGTCTGCCATAGCATATTTGAAAACTATGGAAAAAATGGGATTTCTTGATACAAATCTTTTCCGTGACCGTAATAGTTTGGTAATTTAGTTGATCACCTAAAGAAGTCACCTATTTAGCGCCGCCCCAAGTTAATGCTGCCACTTACTACTGGCAGACTAGTGATTTTATTATTAGTTTTCAACGTACTTTCAGCCTGTATTGTCGAATTTTTTGTCGATTATGGTTTAGTTACTATGTACGCTGCCTCCCGGTCTATAAAGCTTATTTTGATAAATTAAATGAATTCTCTTATAGGGATGGCAGAAAGGCACTGGAGTATCTTTGGGAGAGGCGCATTGAACATCAAGGAGATTAGAGGAGTATAGAAAAATGATATATACCTACTCGAACCTTTCAATTGTTTCCTTTGGGTTTTCTTTTCATCTCATCTACGCATTAAATAAGCACGAATAGCAACTATTTTACGTATTTTTTGAAATGCCGATGCACATTGTCCGTGCGTAATAAACGGTTTACGCGTATCGCCTACCAAATATTTTCGGTGACAACTTACGTTCTCTAATTTTCACTTGTTCCTGTTCATCACTAGACACCCCCAAAAGAATACACAATATAAAACGCTTGGGACTAAAATTTGACGAGCAAATACCATGAAAAATGAATAAAGCAGTACGAGTACCGAGGCGGAGACTCGTTTGAGGGTTAATTTAATTAAACTCAAACACACGAGATTAATTAAAAAATCAAGTTTTCTTTACGCGTTTCCTTTACAAAATGTCGTGTTTACGACATTCTTAATGTATACATACCCCTGATTGCGTGTCTGAAGCATATTTACCAATTTCGGTTTCTAGGTCATGATTAGACGAACAAAACATATGGGTGGTATATGAAATTAACGCGTGTCAAATAAAAGCACTTTCTCGCTGAAACATTCAGGATTAATTTATATACCACCTGCAACTCACATCAATTCAATATGCACCTAGTAGATTCAAATGACTTATGTATTAACATGCTCCCGTATTCCAAATTGATTTTATGATGACTAAGATTAGCATTTCTATTCTAAAACTGATTTATGACTCTTGTTATTTACGAAATATTGGAGGTTACGCAGCGAAAGGTTATTAGTTGCTAGTTGGTTGGTACCGTTGTTTAGAATGCGAGAACACGAAACCCAATGTAATATTCTCGGCTAAATCTACATTTCCTTTTCTTATTTTCATAAAATTGACATTGGTCGGAGGAATCACAATGCCGCCGAGATGGTAGCACACACTCGAACAACCCCTTTCCCAGTATGTGTATTCTGGGCACACCCCGTGTCACTACAATACAGTAGTATTAGCATAATGGTCTGATCAATACATAACTTGTAATAGAGCAAAGCTACTACATCTTTTCATTTTTCATTACGGCTTTTGTCGTTGTCCTTTTCGTTATCCTGCATAATGACAGGAATGGGCCTGCATGCCAAGTGAGTAGGAAATTTTTTCTACGCTCTTCTCATTTTTAACGCTCTTCGGTATTCTATTTCGGATAAATCTACGCGATGATGCAGTTACGTTGTTTAAAAGGGCAATTTTGAGACTCTGACGCAACTAACGTCGATAGAATCTATGACGTTGCACCCTACCAAATCTATGTCACAATTTAGATACGCAAAGGAATATTGTATCAAAGCGCTCCGGAAAATGAAATGAAAATCAATATTCCCGAAGGAATACTTTCACATACGTTTTTCTTGCGCGTTATAGACATCTCCAAAAAATTTAATTTACGTATCCAATAAAGTGTTGCACAAATTCGTGTATACCGCACTTTGTTTGACAACTTCTATTCTACGTTCGTAGGTACGTTTGTCATTTTCGCTTTTAAGTATTCCTAACTCCTTATAAAATAGTGCTAATATATTGACAAATTTGAATGGGAAGGGGTTTATTGGAAATTCTCGAATGTCGATATGCAATCTATATTTCTTCATAGAATGGTATTGAATGCCTAGAGTGGGAGTTTATTTTGAAGCCGTTCTGTTTCTATGTTAACCTGCCTGTTATCTGTATATTCCTTAAGGAATAGTAGGGATGCGTACTTTGTAGCTTTCTGATCGCCAACCCGCACCCCACTATCATCTCAGATGCCCCCAACAAACATGCGCAATCAAACCGGTGTGTCTGGCTGAAGTGCCCTCATGTTCACGACCACTACCATTTTTCTCTTTACAGTGTAACAGGAGCTTTCTAATGGGGATTGATTTGTTTCGAATTTTTGGTAGAGTTGGTAGGTTTTTGGCCTAAGTTTGATAGCAGAGTATACAGGGTGGTCGAAGTATAGTCTTCAAAATGTTAGTAAATGTAGATTTATGGGGAAGTTCGTAATTTCCATTTCAAGTTAGGGATCATATTTTGGTTATAACGTGTACACCTGTAGCTTTAGGAAATCGTGGGCATGTTGCTGATAATAAGAAATAAATTTTATCTTAATTGCTTCTATGGGCTCAAAAAACGCAACGTCAGGGTGAGGGTTTTAAAGAAACGGCCTAACTCTCCGTGCATTTCCGGGGTTACAACGAATCCAATGGTCTTTGGAAAAAAACGACTCGCCTAATTAATTACTAAGAGGCATTTTGCAAGTGAAAAATAGGTAGGGATTAATCCGGAGAAGGTTAGGAGATTAAATTCGGTCTTCGACTACGAGAGATCTAGTCATTGCATTGCGAGGACGGCCGAAAAAAATTGCTATTTTTGAACCGACGAAACGCCACTTAAAAAGTTAAAGCGCAAGAGTTTACTGTTTGTTGGCCGTAGTAATATAAAACTTAAAAGAATTTCGAGCTTTGATTAATATCACGCGACTTTTCCAAAGAAAACAAATTTAGGGTTAAAAGGTGCAAAATACCGTCAAGGAAAGGAAATTTTCGAGCGAATTTAGGTTGCGCGATCTGAAGTAATTAAACGTAGTATTTTAACCCCTAAAGAAATGATTTGCACCAGTAAAAAAAGCAAGGGAATTTTAAGCCGAACTTGAGTGTTTAAACAAAGAGACTAGGCCGTTATAGGTCAAGGACGAGTTCAACATGTGTCGTTAAACAAAGGATTATTGATAACAGGTAGACGCAAATATACAATTATTAATTCAAATAAACGGGTGCCCATTTACAAATTGGAATTTCATTTTACTATGAAAAAAATAGCGGCTCAATTTTTTCAACGGTTGAACAATTATTTAAAAGGTTGATTTATGACATTTATTTATGGAAAATAATTTCAGTCAAATTTTTTTGCCTTTATTTTTTAGTGGGCGGGGTTTCAGCAAATGCTGCTCTACCAACCCAACCTACATTTACAAATATCCATGCCCGAACCCGGATTCGAACCAGGGACCCTCAGCACCACAGTCCAGCGTTAACTGAACTGCGCCACACGAGCCGACTCGAGCCGACCACCACGGCTGAATTGGCAATAGCCCATTCGATCCAACCAATGTTTGAGTACATTTTCGATTGTTTCGGGCCTTACCTCAGCCACAGCCAATAGCAGCTTGAATCTCGGTTTTGAGGTCTTGAATTGTTTCTGGATTGTTGGCGTAACATTTATCTTTCACCGCTCCCCAAAGATAATAACGGGCGCTCAAAAATGAGTTGCTGTCGAGTCGCCTTTGGAAGTTCAAGTTAAGTACGATTTCCCATGTAAACAAAAAGGTACCTCGACAGCAACTCATTTTTGTTCGCATAGTAGTCCCATGATGCCTGGATAAATAAGAAAGTTTGCACAGCGCGTGCGCAAAACGAAATTTTGAAACTGGCGTTAAATTTGCTTTTATTCCAAGTGGCTATGTATCAAATTTCATTTAAATATATTCATAAATATGAAAGTTTGCAATTCGGTCTGTAAATGGTCGAGATGCGCAAAAGGTACTGTGAATGCTGATCGATTAGGCTCAACTTTTGGAATTGTGTTTTATATGGCTAAAGCTATGCGCATATTGAATTTCATGCAATTCCGTTCATAACTAACGGAGATGTCAAAAGGGCCTACTTTATTTTTTGGTCTACATTGCCAATTCCCGAACTCCGATCTACAAATTTGATAAATAATCCATCTGCAAAATTTCATCGTAATCGGTCCATTCGTTTATGAGTTATCGTGCTAACTGACGAACGGACGGACGGACAGACAGAAATTGCAGTAGTACTGAAAATGTCGTCGGACGCCACTGAACTATAATTATCGTGACGCAGATAATAAATAACGAACGTTTAATATCCCCGTTTTGCGATCGAACTTTCAAGTTTAAAGAAAACCTCGAAACCCCAGATACCAAATTTCGTCGAAATCAGAATTTTTTCGTGCCCCTCTTGTGGTAGGAATTTTGAAGAAAATTTGCAAAATCGGAAAGGACATACCCCAAAACCTATTAAAAGACGTCTTTCTAACTCTTGTGGTTTCCGAGACAAGAATTAATGAAGAAATGCAAATTTCACCCCTTTTTTATTGTGGCTCCCAAACTAAACACGTTGCACCAACGGTTTATTTGGAAAAAGTGCTTGTTTTGATCCCCTTTACCATCCCATTTTTTTACATGTATGTAACACACAATTTATCATATGTGGACTTATCTAGAGGAAAATAAGGTTTTCCTTTTGAATTCAGTATTAAATAACGAGTCGTCCAGATTATAAATGTTTAGTAAAGGGTGTCCATTTTAATTATTTGATCAAGAGAACGTTAAGTTTATCCACTGCGTCCAAGATAAGAATGTCTAATCACGGGGGTGTAGGAAACCATAGAAGATTACGGAAAAGTTGCGCAATTAAAGAGCAATTATGATACTTTAAAGAAAATAATATAATTCCGATTATTTTCGAAGATATTCCAGAGAAACCGAAATTGACCGATGTTGTCTTTATTTTTGTCTGATGTGATTTGGACATATTAAAAAAAATAAAAGACACTTCCTCGTTATTGCCACTATTTGAGCTCTACAAGACACTATTGAGAGATTTTCAATACAACGTTTGAAATCATGATCAATTTTATTATTTTGTATGACCCATAAAAAAGTACATACTGTATTGAGTAGATTTTTTATTACGAGGACAACAATGTACGGCACAAAAAAGCAAAAGTTAGAACTATTGGTTTCAATAGGATGGTGCAATTGCACACAACGTCATCTTCGTGCGTACCTATAGGACAAATTTCCTGGAAAATGAAAAATTTGTCCGGTAGATATTCTCGCATGAATACGGCGAGCTTTTCATTTTTGTAACTCGACTGTATTCGATTTCGATCATTCAAATATTGGTCTTAAAAATCACCAATAAGTAGATAATATAATGAAACGGAACTATTTATTTGATTAGATTCTATAAATACATCATCCTTCGCTTTCTTCCTATGCATCGATTACATCATTTGTTCCGAACGAATAAAAAAACGAGAATAAAGAATAAAAATGTCGAACACGAATATGGTTCAAAAGACCATTCCTTTTACTACATTAACTTTTCGATTGGTTTCCGATCGACATACAAAAGGCAGAAATTTCCGCACTATTTTTATAATCTCGCCGGGACGCTGTACGTACACATTTTTCTCGCTTGATTCTCTAAGGAAGGATTTGAAAAGCTCGTCTCCAAAAACGTCAGTCCCAATTGTTTTCTCGTTACACAATCGCGTTATGCGCAAAGTGGTTCGGTTTAGATTTAATTAGCGAGGAATGACAGGCCTGCCAAATTTAATGATTGAATGCATTATTTATAAATTAAGACGCATTTTCACGAACCATGGAAGTGTCAACACGGATGAGGAGCGCTGTAATTTAATTAAAATGGCTTTGTGTTCAAACATGTCCACAGTTTTTGAGTTCCACCAGCAACACGTTGTGGCAATGCGAATAAAAGTCTTGTACGAGGACGAATCAAAAACTCAGATGAA